CCCAACACCATTTATTGAAGAGACTGTCTTGACTCCATTGTATGTTCTTGCCTCCTTTGTCAAATATTGATTGGGCATAGTGGTTCGGGTCAATTTCTGGGCTCTCTATTCTATTCCATTGATCTATATGCCTATTCTTGTGCCAGTACCAGGCAGTTTTGAGAACAATGGCTTTTGGAGGAAAAATCTTGAAAAAGACTAGCCAGTGTAGAGATGCAGGCTGGCTAGTCTTACCCCTTATGTGAAGGATGTTTGTAACGTAGGTGTACGTAAGGTGGGAACTATGCTTTTATACAATTAAGGTTTAAGGGCTACAACTGAAAATGTTTACTTCATCTCAATCTGTATCAGAATATAAAACCTGCTTATAGGCTTTTTTGCATTGTATCTGATTCCAAACATGCGTTTTCATTAAAATAGAAAATCCAGTTTGAAAAACACTGGCTGTCGTTAACTTTCCTCTATATGTATCTTCTCCATTTACGCCTATGGGGAGCATATTGTACAGTTGCATTCACGATCTCTCCTATATGATTTGCTTTTTCTTTTTTAACAATACTGTTAGCAGCTTTATGGAGAGAAATTTCACACCACAAAATCCATCCGTTTACAGTGATTTTTAGTATGTTTACATATTTGGTGGTTTCTAGTATTTTTAGAGTTGTGCAACCATCACTACAGTTCAATTTTAAAACATGCTCATCACCCTAAAAAGAAACCCTGTACACATTAGCAGTCACTCTCCATTCCCTCACTGCCCAGCTCCTGGCAGCCGCCACCTACTTTCTATAAAGATTTGCAGGTCGTGTCAGAATCTCATTTCTTTTTATGACTGAGCCACGTTCCATTGTGTGGATGTGCTACTTTCTGTTTATCCAACACTTCTAAATATTGGACATTTTTGTTGTTTTTTATTGCAAAAAAATACTATGGATATTCATTGATGTTATTGTGGATAACAACGTTCCTTTTTCCTGGATAGACACTGACGAGTGCAATTAGTGCGACGTGAGGTAACCCTAGGTTTCACTTAAAGGAGCTCTTTGCTTTCTACAGCAACTGCACCACTTCAGTCTCACCAGTCTCTTCCATGTCCTCGCCAACACTTATTATTGTCGGACTTTTTTCTTTTACCCATCCTTGAGTCTAATGATGTTGAGCACTTTTTCTTGTGCTTCTCATGTCCATCTTCTTTGGAGAAAGATCTGTTCAGATATGTTTCCAATTTTTCTCTTTAGCTGCTTGTCTTGTATTGAGTCAGAAGAGTTCCAGAGGGATTCTAGATTGGCTTTCAGTCTTAAAAGGAAATATTTAACGCAATTTTAAGGCAGTTGCAACTTTATTTAGATTAACACTTTTCTTTAAAGCCTCTTGGCTTTTGGAAGTGTTGTTCCAAAAGTAGTAGTTAGAATGTCTTCATGACATAGCATGGACAGAGGTAGCTTTGTGAAGGCCCTCATAAAGTCCAGTATCAGATTCAGCTACATTGTTGTTAAATAAGGAAAAAGTGTTCTAATTCATCATTCACCATTTCTGTAAGTTCAGACATTGAAATAATGTTTCCTGATGTGTCAAGCAAAATATCTAAGCTATCCAAAATTAAATGGTGGTGTACCTTTAACATTTGAGTTTAATACTTGATGCATTGCCTTAATCCATGCTACTCCCAAAGGCCAGTGTTCTGTAATGATTTGTGGTTTAGCCTCAGTGTAAATTTTAGTTCATTAGAGTCTAAGGTGGGGATGTGGAAAGGAGTCAGTACATGGATTAGCTTCTGATTTCTGCATTGCTGTGCCTTCCTCCTTATGTCATCAGACGTAAAAACTAGAGCAAGAAAACACACACCAAACAGCCATGTTTCATGAATGAAATAATGAGTAAGAGGAGTATTCATTAATTTGAAGATTTGTAATGGTCTTAGGGCCTCAAGAAGGTCAAAGATCACTCCGTTAGCTAATCAAAGCTAGCCATTTCTAAATATTTTTTTCTTTATTTCACTTGTTTACTATCCTTTTATAAGTTTATTGCCTGGAGAGGCATGATTTTAATAAGAGGAAACTTGTAATGCATCATATTCCATCTGTGAAAGTATTTGCTCTTTAAAAGTGTAGATGTGGGACCACTCATGCCCTAGTTTTCTTATGTATCTATTTGTAAACATATACATTATTATGAATAAATTATTAAGCCTTTAGGCTTTGAGAGCCATTCATGTATTTTGTATGTATTATAGTCTTTTGGATTTTTACTAATTACATTACACATTCCTCTCTCCCAGAACCACCAAGACCCATTGCTCCTCCCCAGCTGCTTGGTGTTGGGCCTACATATTTGCTGATCCAGCTAAATGCCAACTCCATCATTGGCGATGGTCCCATTATCCTGAAAGAAGTGGAGTACAGGATGACATCAGGTTCCTGGACGGAAACCCACGCAGTCAACGCTCCAACCTATAAGTTATGGCATTTGGATCCAGACACTGAATATGAGATCCGCGTTCTACTTACCAGACCTGGTGAAGGTGGAACGGGGCTCCCAGGACCTCCGCTGATCACCAGAACCAAATGTGCAGGTAACACTGACTAGCAGGCCACTCTGCCTAGTGGCTACATCTTGCATAAAACATATAATATACACACAATATTGAAAGTTCTAATTATTTGGTACATGATATGATCACACTATTTGAAGAGTTTCAGTGAATTTGGTAAATTGTAGCTTTGGTTCCATCATAATTTGACTGATTTGGGAGCAGTGGGAGTCTTTCTCTACATTATTCAGTATTATTTTGTATCCATAATCTTTTCTTGTGTGGTAATATTGCTCAGTTCGCTTATATTCACCCCCAAATCTCTGATAGACACAGGTGAAAGTATTGAGAGCAAGCTTTGGCAATTCAAGCATATGCTAAATACCCTCCTATGGTGTGGATATTGTCTTCCTCAACCATTGCAGAGGAATATCTGCTAATATAAGAAGTGTTCCTCTGAACCAAGTTTCAGTGACCAGCCCTTTTATTCAGAAAATTCACTTGTTGAGGATTAAGTGAACAGCTATAGAAAACACTCCCTATGCCCGAAATAACATATAGAGAAAACACAAAGAAAGAATAAAAAGTAATATATAACATAAATCATAGTTCCTCATTCTACCATGCTGTTATAGTGGAAGAAATTGTTAGCTATTTATTAAAAGCCACTGAAAAATTTAATCGTCTAAGTTATTAGATTATATTTTTCATTGCACTCTATTTTGTTATTGAACATAGTTTAGTTGAAAGACATTTTTTTATTCTATCAAGCATTATGTTGAAACACCTGCAGAGTTAGTGCATGAATCTATGTGTCTTGAAAATTTAATGATCTAGATTCTGAAAATTGAAAAAGAAGACTGTGAGGATCTATGAAAACGCAAATGTCTATACAATGTCTTTTGTTTCTTGAACATCTGTTTAGCATTTACAATATTTTGGGGCTATCCACCAAGAATACTGATATCAAGTCAAAATAAAACCCATGAAATCACTTTTTATATTGCCATCCTTAAATATTTTTTTAATCTGGCTTAATTTTATATATATTAACATATATTATGTTTATATTGAAAGGTTTTCACAAATAGGAAGTTTAACTGCTTAGTCATTAGTCTCAATCATTAGTCTGAGATTTAGACAATAAAGATTCTACTAATTTTCTAATTATTCCTGTGATTGATAAGCAGCTTAACTCAGAAGGCAGTGTACATTTCCATGGTCCAACTAAATCACACAATTTGCTTTACAGAATATCTGTACCGCTGTGTCCTTTCGTTCTAGGAAATGTGACATTGTTCTCATTTTAGTAGATGAACTTTCTAAGGGAGAGACACGTTCACGCCACAAGCTCATCTAGTCAGAGGAATAATTTAAAGAGGAGACAGTTTTGAAGTTGGGAAGTAGCTCATTCTGTCTTTCGAAGTTAATATTCCATGCCAACAGGAAACAATGAACAATGGGGTTCATTTTACAAAGAAACCTACACACTTTCAAATAAAAATTACCTATTTCTACATTTAACTTTTATAGCTGTTTACGAAGTAGAACCATAGTGGTAATTCTGCTGTGCCAGGAGTCTGCCTCTTGATGTCCTGTGCTCAAACTTCTCTTTTAAATATCACATTTGCCTTCTTATTTTTATTTTATTTTCATCAAAATAGACAATTAAAAATTAACAGTATCACACAATGTATTGCTGATAATAATGTAATTTTTGTTTAACTTTGGAATGATTTGATATTGGTTATTGATGTGAGGGCCAATGGAGATTGCCAGTCAATGGGATTTTGTCTTAAAGCTAGGTCTTCTGTATTAAGTGGATGCCAGCATGTTAATCAGCACTGACTAATCCTCATTGAATGCTTATGTTCAGAATCCATATTGAACTGAAATTAAAATGCATATTGAAATGCAATAAAAATATTGACTAGAAAAGTGTTTTGAGGTATTTTTAAGATTAATCTTACCTGTGTGAGAGGGAATAGAGTGAAAATAACATGCCCACATAACTTTTTTTAAATGTAAAAATGTCTTGACATTTTGGAACTATATTGTGTGTGTTTTTCTAATTCGTTATTTAAGGAATATTTACTTTGTAGGCTCTGTAGTGTACAGTGGTATCAGGCTCACTCTTAGTTTTCTTTTCAGCTGTAGAGAGTTTATTTGTTTCTAAAACTATCACATGTGGTAAGTCTTAGTTTCATGTTTGTTAATTTATTAATCTCCTCATAAGTTGTGTTTGATACAGATTTTTATAGTAAAAAGTGCTTATAGACTAGATATTTACATACATTATAGATTTGAGAGAACTTGGGGTTACTATTTTAAAAGGATTGTCTACTAATCTTGCTCAATTGTTAGAAATGGAGGGAAAGCTTATGAAAGCATATATTGTATTAACTCAAACAATTTTTGAAAAGCAGAAGTTGAATATCACTGATAAACATTTAATATCTAAATACAGAGTCAGTGTTGATTAACATTACAGTGTCCATCTACTTCCCTTCTTCAAGATCCATACCCTTTCCTCTAAATATAAGATTCCTCAGACTTACCAGGACTGACCTGTCCTCAGCCTGGTGTCCTATAACAAGAAAACAGAACACAACTTATACTAACTATGCCATTATCTGATATTTAGTATGGATTTCAAAAGCTTAAAAATTCTTCCTGAAATGGTTGTGTTTTCATGCATGCAAGCCCTTATCACAAGGGCTGGCATGTAGGGAGGGTTACGTAAAACATAGCCATTATTATTGCTCTTATAGTCATTATTACTGAAGCTGTGTGGTTGTTGTTGTGTGTTTTTTTTTTAATGAACATGCATTACCTCAAAATTAAAACATCCTTTTGAAAAGCAAAAAAATGAAATTCTTTCTAATTTGGGGAAATGATTCCTCTGAAAGCCCAAGTATAGCCTTTGGATCAGTTTCCATCTAATTGTACTAACTTGTGCAAGCTCTGAATACTAGTTATATAACTCATTCATTTTAACCAAGGCAGGGAGAATGCCAGAGTGTAGTTGTAGTGTTTTACCATTAATATCAGGTGATTGAATAAATGTTGATTATTTTGATACACCCTACATGTCAGACCACCAGGAAGCCTAATCCTAATATATATAAAGATCTAGGTGCCATCACGACCGAATGGGCAACCGGTCACCATGAAGTGCATGGAGCACCTCTCGGTCCCCGCCCTCCAGCCCCGGAACTGCTCACCATGAGGGGGGCCTGGCGGTGGGGCGGAACTGGGGACTGTTGAGCAGTGGTGGCGGGCTGCTTCACAGGGTGGCCGTGAGCTTAGCAGAGCAGTCACGGGGCCCGTGAGCATTGCGGAGCGTCCAGTGGCTTCACAGGATGGTAGCAAGCTTCGCAAAACAGTTGAGGGGTGGGGGGGAGCCTCGCAGAGCAGTCGAGGGGCCGTGAGCATCGCAGAGTGTGTGTGGGGGGGAAGCTTCACATAGCATGCAGGGCAGCAGAGGCCATGTGACAGAGGCCAGGCTAGGCCTAGGGACCCTAACCGCGCACAATTTTGTGTGCACTGGGCCTCTAGTCTATAATAAAAGAAGTGTAATATGCAAATCGATTGAATAGCTGAACAGCGGAATGACCATCTGGACTATTTCCCGATGAAGCCAGGGCTGCGAGGGCTGAGACAGCTGCGGCCGTGAAGGCCTACTCTTGCACGAATTTCGTGCATCGGGCCTTAGTAATAAGTATAAAATCTTTGCTGTGTTTGTGTCTGATACCAATTTCACATGAATTTCTTGTAGATAACAAATATATGATGATTTTCTGCCTCTGCAACATTCTTATTTTATTTTGGTGTAGCACAGAGGGAGAATATTTTGCTATTAAATACCAACAAAAAGTACATTAATTATAATTTACTATGTTAAGTTTTCCATTTTAATGTATTTAAGCCAATGAAATTTTTTTTCAATATATTTTATTGAGTTTTTACAGAGAGGAAGGGAGAGAGATAGTTAGAAACATCGATGAGAGAGAAACATCAACCAGCTGCCTCCTGCACACTCCCCACCGGGGATGTGCCCGCAACCAAGGTACATGCCCCTTGACCGGAATCGAACCTGGGACCCTTCAGTCCGCAGGCTGCAGGAAAAACAAACAAAACTTGTCTCCTGTTAGACAACTCGGCAGCTTTGGCTCAAACCCATTTTCTGAAAATGGGCTTTTACTTGATAGGCCTGAATTTTTTTCCATTCCCCCTACTAGAGGGGATTTCTTTTTCTTTCATGAATAAATGAAAGTACAACATACAAATCTGGGAGGGACATCATTTTTATAAATCATACCTGCATGGTTAACTTATTCCCTCAAAAACATAGTTTGATGTCCTTAACTTCACTTTTATTGAAAGCACAATTTATTAATGTGCTTAAAACTCAAGTTAAATATTTTAAACAAAGAAGTGTTAAGAAATGTTTTAATGTATCCTTATCTGAAAATGTCACACCTAGTTGCCAATGCTTTTCTTTGTTTTGTTTTCTTTCTAAAGCGCATTAAAATCACTTGGTGAGTGAAATTCCCTGCTTCAGGGTCTCTCAAGTTAGGCCAGGTGGTCACTGCAGTCTCCAGGGGCTACAGCCCCCGATGCTTGCCTCCTGCTTCTCTGTGCACCTGGGGGGTTGATGATTTCACTCAGAGCTTACAGCCCGGCCCATGGTATTCACATAATGCTTCTTCAGGCATTTTATAAATTTTAAAGAAAGTATAAATGCGAAGTTGTCTTAAATGGGAAATAATTCAAGAACTCCATTAAACAATCAAAGAACGTATGCTTGTGCGTGTGTGTGTGTGTGTGTGTGTGTGAGTCTGTCTGTTTCCCCTGGGTATACCATCTGGTATTGAAGCTAAGAAAATACAGTTTCTCTTTCTCTTATTAAATGGAAATAAAATATGCCATCCTCCGAAATAGTCTGCATCACATGCTTTGGCAATTGCATGTTAAAATTGCTCTTTTAAATTGCCTTCTCCTTCTGGGTAACCCATCGTGGTGCTGTGCAATGATTAGCT